GTTGTGACAACGTTGCCACAACGTTATATTGTTAGCTGGGCTAGCTAGTAGGGCGCAAAACTACTACTTCATCCCGTTCCGCCCTTCCCTTTGTTTCCTTTGTCGCACGCTCAGCCTTCTTCTTCTTCCACCGCCCCTGGTGGCGTTTTTGTTCTGAAAATTCATTTAATATGGTCAGGGGCCTATATCTGTGTATATGTATAATATATCGGTGTATATATGTATATCGGTGTATATATGTGTATATATCCGCAGTATCACGCCACAATCCTTGGCTTGCTATGCCCGAATACATATATAACACAATTCTATATTAATTATTTGATTGTAATGTTTGTACCCCATTGGTGTCTGTGTGCATTTCTTCGATTTACACTCTAATAAAGACCATTGATACAAGAAATGCAGAAAACTGACAGTAGTACAATAGTGCGCGCTACCTAGAATCAATCATAGGTCCTCGCAAAATCTTGGATTTCTGCAAGCGACCTCCTGCCGCCACCTAACGGCAGTTAACGTTGAAAACTGCATACAAAGGGCTTTTTATATTTTGGTACCTCACGAGTGCAAACATGTCGATTGCAGAATTAGATCCGTTGTTTAGTAAAGCATTAAGGTTAATGCGTTCCAAGAGTAAGGATTCTACTGAACAACTGAGACGTTTGTATGATGAAGTAGTTTCTTCAAGACGAGTGTCAAAGCCAGGTAAGCATTTAGAAGGCAAAGATTCCAAAGAGGATTTGACTCCTACTCCTAGTAAATCCGAATCTTCTCATTCTACGAAGGAATCAAAGGATACAGTTAAAGTAAGTTTCACACTCTATATGACTACTGTATGCGTTTATGTCATATTGTGCTATTGACCATCTGCATTGAAACTAATTCGGTGGGGCCGTGTTGTATTAGTCTCATGCCGTGTCCCGTATACTTAGTAAATAGTAATATAGCTACGTATGCCATAGGCTCATAAGGTCTATGTCCCCCAGGGTACTGCCGCAACGTACCCTTGGTACGGTCCGGTATACCTGAACGCTCACGTGTCTCGAATCTCGAGATCGCTCAGCTCGGTTCGCCGGCTAACCGAGTTGGCAGATGAACCGAGTTGACCGGACACCTACCTGAATGTACCCTGGTAACTATCTAGCTGATATGGTTAGGGTTAGGGTTAGGGAGTAGGCGTAGGCGACTCCCTATAGGTCTATAGACTCGTTAGTTGAGTAGGCGAGGTACGATCCGGCATATTAGATAGTAGTATTTAGTACCAGGGTACGTTCCGGCAGTACCCTGGGGGACATAGACCCTATCAGCATAACATAGGGCCCAATGTCAATGACTCATCGAGTTCTCTTTCATATTTTAACTTGTATCTCCGAGAGGTAGCGTCACTAGTTCTCTATAGTCTAAGTCTGTCTACAACTTGCAAGCACCAGGCATAGATATTATATTATACACATCGTGCATTCCCTATCATGTGTAGTCAGTTTGGTGACTACGGAGCAGATGAGTGCTTTAGAAATGCTGAGAGGGTCTATGTCCCCCAGGGTACTGCCGGAACGTACCCTGGTACCATCTAATATTATCTAATATGCCGGATCGTACCTCGCCTACGCCACTAACGAGTCTTGGCTACCACTAATATGCCGGAGCCGTTACTCGGCTCGGCCTACTCCCACTAACGGGAAGAGTCTAGGGAGTCGTCTGACGCCGGTTCTACTCCCTAACCTCGAACCCTTAACCACATGGGGTTCGACACCTAACCCACGTGGTGGGCGACGACCTAGTCGCTGTGTGGGATCGTAAAGCTTTGGTCCGCGTCGCAATACAACAGAGTGCTAGTTAGCCGAGCTGCGTCATGTTAGATTGCGTCATATATATGCACTGGAAACGTCAACCTCTGGCTAGACTGTTCAGCGCCGCACTGTTTGTCGCAGAGCGTTGAGCCGGGGATACAGTCTACCCTTCCGGGCCAAAAAACAATAACGTGGCCTTAGCTGCCAGCGCAGTAGACGATCGATAAACGTGCGCTCGTGTATTGCCCATGCCGGGAGAATACGAATGCTGCACGTGAACTCGGACCCACTCGCGATTTAAAACGCCCGGGAAACGGCATCTATGAACTTCATATGATGACACACTCATTATCTAAATAAAGTTTTACATAACAACGGTCGGGTCTTGCGCGCTATGTGAAAAGTTAGGTCAGCGGCGGACTGGTTTTCCTTCCGGTTTACTTAGCCGATGCGTCTAGTGTGAAATAAAAAATAGTTAATTGTGAACCCTTGCCCTAACCCTAACCATATCAAATAGTTACCAGGCGTACGTTTCTGGTGTATACCGGACCGTGACCCAAGGTACGTTTCGCAGTACCCCGGGGGACATAGACCCTATGTGCTTAGAAAATAGTTCAGCGGTTTTTTGTCTGTGGAACAATAAAGTTGGACTGTGGATGGCGAAATCTTCAATATGTTCCACAATCAGCTTGCACCAAAAACCAGCAAAAAACTTTGTCGTGTACATTTTAGAATACTAAATTTTAACAAACTTTACAAACAAACTCACGTGAAAGGGAACACATACCATCTATACAGCCCGTCCTTTAAAAGAGTCATATCACCAGTTTTCACAACTTTCGAAAAAATCCATCGAACCACTAGCCAACTTTAAGCATATTAGTAGTGCGGGAATAAGGTGAAGATGTAGATTTGTTATATTATTTTAATGTAAGTAGGACCTAAATGGTTTATTATTATTGTAGGAGAGTAGTAAAACTAAGCCACGTGAATTGCCTTTCCTTTTAGACACATACAAAGTCTGTAATCCAGACAAATCAAAGGTTTAGATGAGAAGAGGTGCATCTACAGGCCCGCGCATGCGGAAAGTTGCTAGCAGCGAGAAGAAAACGGGATGCTGAGAAAGACGTTTGATAAGCCGTTATATAAGTACATATATATGGACTATGTGTCAGACATGTCAAGTCTCACGCATGAGCGCAGTCTCATGCATTGCGCGTGAGACTCACGCATTTTGCTCAATTCTCACGCTACTCACGCTCATCTCTTGAAGTTTTCACGGGCAAAAATCAAAATAAATAAATAAATAATTAAACCCCTATTTTCAGTCCCAGATACCATGTATACTAGTATCGGAGGCCTAAGGCCCGATCAACACCGCCGCATCTGCGGCCGCCCAGCTAGCTATAGCTCGGCTCTGGCTGCTATAATACGTATACGCTATAACGGCTGCGCATTTTATTTGCCTGCTTGAAATCCAATAATCCCACCTGGTGCATGGCTTTGCAGGTTACTGAGGTATTTTCTGTTACTTTTTAATTTTCAGCATACATGCTGAGTCATAAAAAAATTTCAATACATATTTCCCAATACTTCTAATCATTCAAAATGACGTAAGAACCTTATATTTATAAAGGCCAATAAAGCATACCATTAGGTATTGCCTGCTAAATTGCACCATTTCAAACCTCAAGCTTGCGAAAGCTCCATACCGTGGGAGGGGGCACCCCTACCACACACCCTCCCCCCCCTTGGTCGCTTCGCTCACCTCGGCCGTGTGTCACTCCGCTCAACGGCTGAGAAGTCTCACTTCCTTAGTGGCGCGGATATTGACATTTTTACGTAAAGGTGCACTTTCTGCGAAAGAAGCATGAAAATTTGCTCTAGGGGGGTTTTGAGTATGCTGATTTCAAAAATTGCCGGCGACAACACGATGTCACTCCAACGGTTCCCGCCAAAAAATCAAAAATTAAAAATGGCCACCAAAACGTGTTTTTGCCCATGAATTAGCTGTTAAGTGCCAGATACCATGATCTTGGCATCTCATACCTATGTTTTTGAAGTCAAATAATGCCCCAATAAAACTCTTGTTCAAATATCATAAGATATATCTTCTCGCCAAAAAAGTTGTGGGAAAATTCAAAAATGGCCACCACAAAACACAGTTTTGCCATAAATCATGCTGTACAGTGCACCAAGTACCATGATCTTGGTCTCTGTACCATATGTTTTTCACGTCAATGAACCCCGGTAAACGTATAGAAACACATTGTGATGTTATCATAAAGGGTCTTCGCGCGCAAAAAAGGGTAGTTTAATGCGCAAAGATGGCTTGCCACAAACGCCATTTTCTTTGCCATTAAAATGGCTTACTACGTGGCCACGATTTACCAATATTCTGAGGGGTATCTATGCCAGTTTTTATGTCAAGGATCCCGATGCGAAAACATGAAACTATGCCTGAACAATACATCTTCAAATTAAACAAATACAATACAAAATGTATTTTAGTCAAGAACTCGTTACACATAATGCTGAAAATATGCATCTATACTTTAGTTCATATTTCTCTGTACAACTTACACTTATACACATACGCCTGCCGTGCCTAGCCAAAACGTCGTTCCTTAGATCACAGCGTGCAACAAAAATACGTTGCCTATTGTTGGATGTTTACTTATTGGAAAGATTATCCTGTGAATGTGTGCTCTTGACCACTATCACTCATGCTCGTGGCATGACGGTTTATGTGAGCAGATAAACTTGCCCTCGAGATTAACTGCCCTATCACACATGCAGAGTTCCTCAAGCAACTTTTTTGCTGCACACAGAAAACCATGCACAAATTCCTCAGCACTAGCCATGATCAGTTTATGAAAAGCTGAATGCAATGGTGAAGGGAGATGGAAGCGTAATTAGGTCATCACTTGCAAAATAAAGCAGAACTGAGATGGGGATGCGCTTGGCAGTCCAGAAAACAGCTAGACTCTTAATGAGTAGGATAGACAGACATTCAATTAAATGGAAGGACACAGACGCCACCATGAAGCAAAATACAAGTGTGCAGAAGGCTTGCTTGATACAAACAGATAATGTCATAGATGCTGGGTGAGGATACTGATAAGTCCCAGAAGACATAGGGAAGCACGATACCAGGAGAATTTGTTGCGGAGGCGTGATGCAAGGACAACATCACGGGTGGCATTCAATGAGCGGACCATGAGCATAGGTACAATCTGCCTCTGTTAAATTCTAGGTGGTCAGGAAGAAACCTGCGAAGTCCACTTTAGATATTTCCAACCGTGCCACAATGATGTTCATCTCTTCTCACGGCTGTATATATCGTCGTCAAGCTAGGAGAAAGTGCATGATGGATGCGCTTCTTTACACAGTAAAAACTATGCTTTGGCCTCCCATCGTTGGGTGGTCAAATGGTGATCATGCGCCAAACAAGCAAATCTGACTTGGCTGGAAATGCTTGGAGTCATTGGTACCACAAGCGGAACTCTGTTCAAATGTTTGATGTGTCAACAATTGTTGGCACGGTTGCTGCCATCTGTGCACATGCTTGACCCGAAAGAAGTCCAACTTTCTGTCCAAAACATATCGCAGACTATTCACAGATTGGTGTCTCTTTCCCTATATAGAAACACCTGCTTTACAAAACGTTGTTCGCGTAAGATGTTGTCTGCGATGTCTACAGCGGAGGGACAGCCTAAGGCACAAATGACAGAACCGTGGATCTGGTAATCATCTCGCTGTGGACAATAACCACCAAGCACTTCCTGCTTAACTGGCAAGAACTTCCTTCGCTGTGATGCAAACAAAGACAGCCTGTTCTAACTTCTAGCCAATGCAGATACAAGATTTTTAACCTCCTACACAGGAGCTAGTGAACTCCACACGATGCGCAGAATGCTGTTTCCATCTCCATGAGCTAACCTGTCGATTTGTTCTGCACCTCACGAAGGATCAGGCGCACACGGCCTCGCTGTTTTGATGCTTCCCATTCATTCCATTCACTGGGTTTACCCAAGCTGATGATACATGCAACAGATACTGACATGTGGGTGCGTTTACCACGAGCTGTCAAGTGTTTTACATGACTGGGGGAAGTACTGTGCAGTAGCAGTTTTTTTGGTCATGGCGTGGGGTAAACTACTACATGGCGAGGTGCCGGGCGTGAGTGTGCGGAGGCTGAGAGTGTGAGGGCGCGGGAACGGATGGCGGATCATGGGTCTTCTATTCTTCAGGTGCAATGTCAGGATTGTGATACTTTCTGCCTTTCATGGAATAGGCGCAAAGAGAACAGCTTGGGCTGCTTTGGTGGCTAGGTGGCCTCATGCTCAAAGATTTTTTACTCGGTTATTCCTGCTCCAAGCCAGGTATCCCCGGAGCGGGGACGGTGGAGGCAGAGAGAGTAGAGAGTATGTTGGTGTCTTTGGTAGTCAGCAAACGATCGGCACTCGACCTGCTGAATAAGCCAAGAACAACGTTGTATCACTCAAAACCGCTAAGATGCGAAAACACATTCCTCTAACGTTGCCATGGCGCTGGAACAGCCATGTGAAAAGGCTGATTTATCAGCGCAGGGCACCATCTGAGGACAGTCACTTATTAGGAGCACCCTAAAGTGGCCTCGCCAGACTTTATGGGGCTGTGAGAGAGTGACAGATGGTATTCCCATAGACTCATGCTGGACCACTCTTCCAGAGGCCAGCAAAAGCTAGGCAGGAACTCGTCAAAAATGTGGCATACAAAACAGTCTTGCTACAAAAAAGATGCAAGTGTGTCAAGGGGCGCCCCCCCAAATCTCGAGGGATACAACAGATGTGCTCTGCTCAGATAGTGTACACAGAGAATCAGAAAGCAAATCTGATCATATGAGGACAGCTGACAGAGGAGTATTTAATGTTTTACGACTAATACATGATACACCATTGGATTTGTTTTTACACGGCATGACGCGCGTGCCTTTCTATTGCTGTTGCACTTGCGGTCTTTCATGAAAGCTGAGGAAAACAAGGCGTTTTGGCGATTGCTTCTGCGCGCAGGCGTACCTTCAAAGTGGGTAACAGAAGAGTGTTATACTGAGTATAGAGGGCGGTACTTGAAGTTTTCTTCATAATTTTTCACGTGGTCTACCCAGTTCTTTGACCTAAAAAACATTTTATATTCTATTTGTTTAATTTGGAAGATGTATGTTTTAGATTATTTCATGTTTTCCATCGGGTTCCTTGACATAAAGACAGGTGTATAGGGGATAACTTTAGATCCTGGGTAATCTTAGTGCGCACGCTATAAGCCATTTTATGGCCAAAGAAATGCGTTGTGGCAGCCATTGTGGATAATTCTTTTGACGGCGAGAAGATGATTATGATAGATTACATGTCTCTCTATACCCGTTCGATGGGTTCATTGACCTCAAAAACATGCTATAGAGACCATAGCATCATGGTACTTGGCGCCACTGACAGCTCGATCTTAAGGGCCAAAACTGGTTTTTGTGGTGGCCATTTTGAATTTTCAAACTTTTGGCCGGCGAAGATCAGATCTTATAATATATTGGACATTGTGTTTATTGCATTCCTTTGACCTCAAAACATAGGTATATACACCCAGGAATCATGCGTAATCGGGGCACTTTACAGCTGATCTATGCGCGGAAAAACATTTTTTTCTGGCGCGGGGCCATTTTTAAGTGTGTGATTTTTGGGCGTGTGAGAGAGGGTGTTGGTGGGAGGTGGAGGTGACATCTTGTTTCCGGCGCGAGATGGAGGGGGGGCTTTTGAGAATGCGAGGGCGGAGTGACGTGCGGAGAAGACCCCTTAGTGTTGAGCAAATTTTGCGGAGTGGCTGTGGCTGTGTCGCAGAGAGTGTGGGGGGCAGCACCTCAGACACATATCCGCGCCGCAGCTAGTGTGCGAGAGCGCGAGTGTGTGGCGTGCGAGAAGAGGCTTGGACATCTCTGAGTGTGGGGGGGTGGGGGGGGGGGGGGGGTGGGGTGGCGGGGGTGTTTGTGTGTGTGTGTGTGGTGCGGTGTGGCGCGGTGGTGTGGGGGTTCGTATACAAGCCAAAGTTATCACAATTTTGGGGGTGATAGCTGGGGAGAGGTGAGGCGGACGTGGGGTGTTCGAGGGTAGAGGGGGGATGGGAATGTACAATTGGCTCTCCTATTATTTTTTAGCTCATCTGACATTAGTCAGATGCCAGCTTGGTGAGAGAGTGCGGGGCGGGTGGTGAGTGGCGTGCCGGTGCCGTGGCCGTGCGTGGGAGCGTGGCCGAGCGTCGACGCTCCGTGGGCGGTCCGTCAAGCAGGTGTGGCGGCACAGAAGTGCTTAACCGTCCGACGACGGTCACGCGCATATTCGGACGTGGGGGGCGTAATCCGAAAACGAGTTTGGATGGTCGAAGGGCTGGGGGTCAAGGTCAAAGGTCAAGATTGTAGAAAGAAGGGGGAACATTCAGCTCGGCTACTTAAGGTATAGGCGGGAAATGGGCAGAATGGTGCGCACAAATGCTGAAGAGCGGGCTGCGACCGTGAGCTCGTGTGAGGTCTGGGGGTATGGCATCATGGTAGGAAAAGCCATCACTGTGCCGAAATTGGAGGTCACCAGGTCAAAGCGTCAGTAGGGCACAGCGGCCAGATTTTTGAGATTTTCTGAGGACACTTTTGGGGTCTGACGGAGCGATTGGAATAACTTGTGTTTGTTCAGCGCGGCCGACTAGATTTTTATGGCTTTATTGATAAAGGACCCATGAAATTGGGGGGGTTTTTTTTCCCTTTGCTGACATGCGAAGAGTAAGTTGTCGGACTTTTGACCTCAACGAGGAGGGTTAAACTTGCGATTTGTTTGGACTGTCTGCTTTAGAAAGAATTTGACTGCGCGCGGTTTGCTAGTAGGAATCTATACATGCCTGGATGTATGAGGCTACAATGTCACAGTGAAATTTCAAAAAGCTAAATTAGTGTTAGAGAAGGGTGTGTATGGGGCTTCCATTAAATCGTATAATTTTATGTATTCGTGGTGGGAGCTGGTTCAGGGATGGACTGGGGAACGGTATGGCACTGCCAGGCTTGCGTGCCAGTGCATGTGTGTGGGGCGAGGTTTTTGGCCTGGCCGTTAAGTTGCCGTTGCAGGCGGGGTGTGCAGCTTCTCTATTGCAATTTGCAGCCTGCTGGCTTGCGTAGGTAAATGGCATGAGTGCTTACCTATTCTGTCTTGCAAATAGTTGCTTGTACTACGAATGATGGAGCTTCGGGCATCTTTAATGCTGAAAGACACGTTGAAAGCGGTACCGCCATCTGCGTGGCACAACTTTTCAGTAATCATCCAACGAACATTCTTTTGAGAAGGTCCTTGATACCGATCCCTGTGCATTCACGGAATGGCGTGTTGTGCGGGGCGTGTATGGTGAACAGCATTTGGGACTAACAGGGTTTACTAGAATCGCCTCCAACTGCCACGAGCAGATCACGCGGCGGGAGTGAGCGTGTGGGTAGTAATGAGCGCCTGCGCTAGGCGGGCACTTGTTTATTTGAAATGAATAGTACAGCTCACGGTTTAAGGGTTATTTTCAATTGAGGAATGTGGTGGGTATTTGAAAGATTCGAAGTTGAAGAGAGAAAGGAGTTTTCGGTGGTTGTTTGGGTGAGGAGATTCTCGGGTGCTGGGTGGGCCATACCAGCTTGAGGTGCGAAGAGGGTAGTACAGGAAGGCTCAATCGAAGGAAGCTCAGCGCAGCCAGAAAGCGCTCGTGATTGAGCCAACGTTCACCTAAAGATCTTCCCGATGCACCCTCTTCAACTGCCTGATGATACCGATGCTGGCCGATTTCGCTATGGAGATGGTCTGGCTTGTGTTGCGTGCACTCTGTTGGTTTTCTATGCACCTGTGTTCACTGTGCGTGCTGGCTGAGATGTGTCTCTTTTTGCACAGGACACATCAGAGTATTTGTACACAGTACATCTGTTTCAGTTCGATGAAGCTAAGGCATTTAAGGATAGCTAGGCGTTTATGATTAAGTGCAGCATTGTTATGTATTATGGTCTTAATTCCAGTACCGTGTCAACTTAGGGGAATCGATGTTGCATCTTTGCGCACCAGTTGGTTGAATGTCAGGAGTGCCCACAAGCCGGTGAGTGGAGGTTGGGCAAGCGGTGGTGCCCATAAACCATCTGGGGCTGTAATAGACTGATCAAGAAGGTCTGATATGGTGGGAGTCCAGCGAAGGAACATTTCGAAACGGTGGGTACGGTTGTGATGAGATGCTCAAGAAGGTAGTATGCTTAAATATCATCCGTTAATCCTTATGAACATATGTGAGAAGTAGCGCCTCAAATCCTGG